CTTGTAAAAATAACTTGCAAGGATTATGGTAGAAATGAAGGTAGGCACATTCAACATGCTGGGCCAAACAGTCTCTTTCTTTCTAACATGGCTTGGAAAAAAAATCAAATGCAGAAGATCAAATAAAAAACTGCGCTTATTTGGATATGTTTCAAGAGTGGGAATTGCTAGTGTATCTTTAATGACCCTGAATACATAGATATGTTAAATAGAAACTGAAGTGCTTTGCAGACATTGTTTCGAGTGACTTGTCATCAAAAAGGATACAGATGATTGAAGTGGTCGGATAAGTTCAGAAAAATGAATGAAGTGAATGAGTTCAAGCCCATTGTCATTGCAGATATACCGATTGGCCCCTTTTAGTCATAACAATATCAAATTAGTAGGCATGAGAGTTTTAAGTAATTTGATTAATTTTAAATTGGATTCACCTTCCATTTTTAGTAATATTGGCTTTTTTAAAATCTGTGTTACAATCTCTGACCAGCCCCTAAGTTTTCTTATGATTTGGTGAGGGACCAAATCCTTTTTCTCTCCATTAGGTGAAGTTTGGAGTTCCCAAATCCTTACTACAACATTAAAGCACAAGATTATTTAGGCTTGAACAAACAAACTTTATTACTTTTTTGACTTGGGTATAGAGTGTAGCATATCTATCTTGTATTCTAATATACAACGTTAATTTGAGGTAAATATGAATTAATAATGTGAATGCAATCAAACTAGTGGATGTGACTGAGGTCAATCCCTTCCATTTGGTAGCAACCCTATGAATGTTAGAAATCACCAAGAGTCCCAACAGCCTTGTTAATGCTCAGTCATCCTCCAGAGGGATTTTCATTTCTTCACTCTTGAAGATCCTGCTTCTGAACTTCCTTCAACACCTCTCTTGTTTGGAATACCTGAGTACCTGTTCATTTCCCAGTGGTGTAATATGATATACCAAGATCGCATTTCAAAGACTGACTCAGTGGCAAGCCTGTAGCTCCTTCTGAGCTCTCCAGGGATTCTCCCTACTTGGATGGAGCCAGCGTACAGGATCACTTTGCCTGCAGCCTCTTGGCTTGTTTCTTCCCAGTGATCTCAGCTCCTCTATCACCACCCTCTCCTCCTGGTTATCTTTCTCTATCTGGATACCTGGCAGAATTTAAAGCAAGTCAATACTGTATCTGTTTAGTTTAGCTAGTTAATTAAGCTAGTTACAAAAATATACCATGCTTTCCGTGCATGTAAGAGGCACATTAATTGAAACAGACATGATCCTGAGAGGTCCTGCCTGGATACATGCAGGGAGGATGTTTCCTTTTGTGGGAGAACTAGGGGTCTTGGTTTTAAAACATGGGATTTTAAAACAGATGAGGCATTTTTTTTCTCAGATCTAAGTTTTTGGAACTCTCCCTATGAAAAGACAGTGAAAGGAAACTTTTTGAATATTTTTAAGGCAGAGATGGATAGATTTTTGGTAGTCATGGGGTAAAGGTTGTCTGATAGGCAGGAATGTGGATGTCAGGTTACACTCAAATCTGTTACAATCTTAGTAAATGGCAAAGCAGCCTTCAAAAGTTGAATGGCCTATTCCTGTACCTTGTTATCATGTGCAAAGTGATCTATATTCAATACCATAATTGTGTAACTGATTTGGAGATTCTGCAGGATGATAGGCCATTGGGTTTCAAAATAAGGGGAATTTACAAAACCGTAGAGTTTTCATTATTTTCTTCCTGAAGTTAATTTGGATATAGTGGTGTTCAGCATTGCTGTCAAAGCTGTACTTTGTGTTCAAGATTGTGTGGCTTTGCATTGAGTGGGGTTTCAACAATATTGCTAATTTGTATTGAAGTTTTGTGTCAGTAGTGAAATTTGGTGTATTAAATGTGTTCAGCCAGTTTTCTGTCAAGTGCGTTTTTGGATCTGAAATTGTCTAACATAGATATTTTGAATGTTTCCCTCCTTGAATATTTTCCTTATTCTGTTCATGTTCTAATTAAACGGGGGGGAAAGGGGTGGGGGTTGGGGCGGGAAACAAATTGTTCTTACTCCAGTCTTCCATAAGGAGCTGAATAAGCTCACAAGTTGGAAATTATTGCGATCTATGATTGAGGTTTTTAAACTTGGAAACGTTTCAAAGTGGCCTCTGACCTTCTATTAAGCAGAATGTCACTTTTTGAATTTGAGTGCTTCCCATGATCTACTCCTGAAAAATGTAGAATAAACAAACTATTTATTTTTAGTGCTATATTAATCTAAAACCAGGTGTGTGTGTGTGTATATATATAATTATTCATTTTATCCCTTTACTTAGCAAGCCTGTGTGACACCTATGACTACATATTATCTGCCAGTGCCTTGAAGTCTGGGCTATAGTTTGAGACTGCCAGTTGTTTCAGGTTAATCAAATAGGTTATCTGTAATGCGGGTGCAATGTGTGAACTTGACTGCTTTTCATTTGGGAGAACAGAGTAGCAGTGGGCAAATAAAGCCAAAATAAGCCTTCGCTTTAAAAGCAGAGGATAATAGAAGAGGGCATTTTTCTGGTGAGTCCCCAAAAACCGCTATCCCTAACTAATAATTACCTCTATCAATTCCACTTCTTTGTAAATAAAACACCTGATGGAATTTGGTAGGCAACCCACAATGTCTACTTGAAGGAATGGACTAGGGGCTCATATGATTTGTTCCATTGCATCTAATTCCTGAACCTGTCTGTTGAATTCCACAGGTGTGGGCAGAAGTTTTCTGGGTGATTTTCTTTGGTGATTTTTCAGCATTTTCTCCAGAATTAGGACATATTGCAAGACTTTATTCTTTATTTGGGAGGACTGCAATCAGTTTGAATTCTTTTGCAGCACTGATCGTACGTACCAAGTCCTTTCCCTGGAGTTTCGATATTATGTCTGTAAGGAACCTGAAGTCAAGCGACCATGTATTGTCTGACAGCTCATTACTCATGCATTTCTTGATTGAAGCAAAGTGACAACTTCAGGCATCAGATTGAAAATTTTTGCAAGATTTCCCTTGATTTTTAATCCCCTCACATCAACTTGGAAGATTAACTCCATCCTGTTCGTCGAGTAAGCTGAAGGGGTCTTGCTCAAATTGATTTTAAAATTTTAACAATTTTTGTTACTTTGAGAAAAGTACAAATTTTATTGCTAGCTGGTGGATTATTACAGTGATATTCAAGGGGAAATCAGGATTTCTGCAAAATGCAGTAAAGCCCACATTTATATCAAGCATGGCTGGTGCACTGTCAGGTCTGATGGAAATTATTTTCATGATTCAGTGTTTTTCTCAAGCATGTGCCTTTGAATTTATTGTAGATATCTTCACTCCTTGTTCTTTCTGAAGGGGCAAAAGGGTGAGAAGATTGCCTTTTTAGTTAATTTGTTTTTATGAGCATGATTTTTAAGAACAATCAGCTGGACTGTGTCAGTCATGAAAATTGATTGATTGAACTGCAGTGAGAAGCATTCACAGACTTCCATGGTCCTGCTATGGTTGCTGAAATGCATCTTTAGACAAAGATTCTTCTCATCTTACTGTTGGGGAAGCCTCAAGTGACAAGCTCCAGATTGCTGTTATCATTTATCCTTTATTTTTAGTAATTGAATAAAGAGTCAACTGCCACAGCTATGCCTCCTTTACTTACTTTACCATCTGTGAATGTGTTTGTATATTTTGCCAGAAATAGCAAATGCGAAATGATGTTTCATTGCAGGCCTTGCCTTTAGCTGCTGGTTTCAAAAAAAAAATCTTAAGCTCATCAAGTTTGTCCAGAGCTGTTCAAGGGAAAACTATCCTTGATTTATTGTGCATCATTTTGTTGTTGTTGTTCCAAATTTCCCTTTTTATTTATTGATACACTTACATTATAGACAAGGCAAACACTCTTTTATAGTTGTAAACAGAAATTTGTTTTCCTGTTCTGTCTGAAAGTTGTACATTTTCAGTTTCATTTAACCAGGAATGTATTTTTAGCAAAGTTTAAAAACCAAGGTAGCATTAGCTACTAACCTTCAATGGGGAGCACAACTTAGGTTAGAGATGTGTGCTAAATATGACAAAGAACCAAGTGTACAGGCATTTTTAACCTAATCTTAAAATTTGTTGAACTCCAACATAAATTCTGTACTTCAAATGAATCATTTCTAACCATGGATCTGGAAGCTGCTTTCCCCAGCATTTGCTCACCTTGTGGTTTGTGACGTCATTCTGCCACTGATCCTGTTACAGGTTGGCCTCTGGAGCATTGAAATATTGCTGGCTTCTTTCAAGTGTGGAGGCAGTTTGTTTCCAGGGCTAATGTCCTGGCTTCTGTCACTCTGATATTGGATGTGGCTTGATGCTGCATTCCCCACAATTTTTCTTTGGCTTGTGCATGCCTCTGAGCATTGTGTGTGGCAGTGCTTCTGGAAATTGAAGTCATGTAGCTGCATAACAATTAACGTACATGCACAGCTCAGAGGTTAACACAAACAGTGTATGAGGGACTGAGACTGAGATGGACAGTCAGAGAGTCTGTGATCAGCCAGTCAGTTATTATCTGCCTGTTGGAGACCATGGATGCACTCTGTAGAATGTGGTAAGGTTTCTATTTCTTCCAACAATTTTAGCTTGTTCTTATAGGAGGAAGATAGGTTTCGCAAATAGCTTGTCCTGTGGATTGAAACCTGAACCTCTACATATGCCTTAAGCAAAGTTAACCTTAACTAATATACCATGCATGAGAGTCCTTTTGAAAGCCTACTATGTTTGCCTATTTGAAAAGGAGAGAAAAACCACACTTGCAAAACACTGTTCTCAAACTTTACTGCGTATTTCCTTATTGGGATGTACTTGGTGAGATCTCTATTCAACTTAGTACCACGCTCAATTTGGAAGTCTTAGTTTTAAAAGTGGAAATTTCCATGCATTTGTTTTAACTCTCTTGTCTAGTGTGCTTTTGATTTACTTGCTAAAAAGTATTTGTACTTTTAATAAAACTTTATTTTTGGTTTCAGCAAGAAGTGATGAAGTTTACAGATCTAGAAAAACTCTACCTCTACCTTCAGTTGCCTTCTGGTCCTAGTAATGGAATCAAAAGGTAAAACCACCATTCATATTCTGTTGCTCTTTATTTGGAGTTTCAAGGAACTTTGATTATAAATAGCAACTTGTTGAAAATGTGCAGCAACAAATGCTCTGACGTTTTGGCTATCAAGTGAATTAAACTTCTTGTGGAGGAGAAATGCATTAAGTGTTATAAAATGGTGTCCACGTGAATTGTGGAAGTCATAACCTAAATAAAAAATGGGAGTAATGTATTGCTAATTTATTTTGGCAAATGAATATTAAAGGGTTCCAAACATGTTGGAAAAGCACCACAAGATGATTAAATTTAGCTAACTATATTTATCATGCTATCATACATTCTTGGGATCTTTAAGTAAATATACTTAACCTTTTGAGGACTATAGTAGCCCTTTATTATGAGAGACACTTTGTTCTGAAATTGTTTCAAGTTGATTCTGATAAAGCTAGGTTGCGGAAATATTTAGCATTGTGTTGAAAGGCCAACTTTCAGGGTGAAAAGGGCTTTCAGAACAGCACCAGAGTTTGAAACACTATTGGTACACTGTGACAGGATTCAGTCCACAATGTTACCAATCTCAAACTTGCTGCCACAGAAAAGGAAGAGAATTTAAATCCGATGCAAACCGCCTTGATCATTTGCAGCTGAAACAACCACTTGAGTGTGATATTGATTAGCTAGGAATTGGCCACCTATCATGATTTCAGTTTTGTAGGGACCGTAATAATGGAAGATGATGTGTATTTTCACCTGGTGAACAATATGCCATCCAAAATCATGGTGGATGTGTAGGCAAAAAAGGAGACACAACAGCTTACATTTTCCTCTCAAGTTCTGATATTATATGGGAGTAATGTTGATTATCAATGAACATTTTCTTAATATGACAGGAAGCGTTCATTGTCATTGTTCTTGGTCATGATCTATGTGAAAACTATAGCTTGTTTGTTATGTTCATATGTAGAGTCAGTGTGCAAAAGGTTTTTCTAGATGCTGTCTAGGTGGCAGACAGATAATGTAATTGAGCCTTGGAGCATTACTATAAATGTTTGACATCCCAGATCAACTGATAGCCTAGCACACAGTGCTCACCAGCTGGCTTCAATATTGTTTTTTTTCTCAACATTAAATCAAGAGACCTGCACCTTCCTGTTTTATTGAGCTGGATTAATTTGGGTTATTTCATGGAAGTTTAACATATTAGGATCATAGATTACAATAATCTTGGAAGTTTGTCTTTGTACATAATTTAACTGTATTCTCATTTAGTTGATAATTCAACTAAAATGTAAACATGAGCGCATTTGAAGAGTAATCTTTATCCTTCTGCTATCTGGGTATATCCACTGCAACTTGTGTTGTCTTAAGTGTTTTCTTTGTTTGAAATAATTGGATTAATTTGTCTCAAACTGTGCTTATAAAACTCTCATGTCTAGCTAGTGTATTATCTCTGCTAATCCTATATATCTCAGCAACTGTTGAATTCAATGTTATACTGCTATTCAAGAAAGGAGGAAGAGAGAAAACAGCCAACTAGAGGCCAGTTAGCCTGACGTCAGTTGTTAGGAACATACTGAAATCTGAGGATTTCTTAACAATAGACTGATACAATTATAACACAATCGGGTATTTCAACGTAGTTCTGAGAAAGGATAATCATATTTTAACAAGTTTATTGTTGCTCTGAGAATGCAATTATTTAGGTAGAGAAAGGAAGCTACTGGATGTGGTATATTTGAATTTCCAAAAGACGATCCATGAAGTGTACTGCAAAAGATTATTACACTCTATGGATTTACGGATAATGTTAAGATGAATGGAGTATTGATTCATGGAAACAGGAAGAGTGAGGGATAAATATTGCATTTGGAAGTCTTTAACTAGTGGTGTGCAGCATGAATCACTACAAGGGCTTTAGTTATTTACTGTCTATTAATGATTTGTATGAGGGGATAGTGTGATGTAGAGGAGATAGTAGGAACTGCAGATGCTGGAGAATCTGAGATAGAGGTGTAGAGCTGGATGAACACAGCAGGCCAAGCAGCATCAGAGGAGCAGGAAGGCTGACGTTTCGGGCCTAGACCCTCCTTCAGAAATGGGGGAGGGGAAGGGGGTTCTGAAATAAATAGAGAGAAAGGGGGAGGTGGATAGAGGAGAAGATTGATTGAGAGGAGACAGACAGGTCAAAGAGGCGGGGATGGAGCCAGTAAAGGTGAGTGTAGGTGGGGAGGTAGGGAGAGGAGATAGGTCAGTCCAGGGAGGACGGACAGGTCAAGGGAGTGGGATGAGATTAGTAGGTAGGAGATGGGAGGAGGGGATAGGTGGGAGGAAGGACAGGTTAGGGAGGCGAGGATGAGCTGGGCTGGTTTTGGGATGCGGTAGAGGGAGGGGAGATTTTAAAGCTTGTGAAGTCCATCCTGGGCCTCCCGCAGTGCCACAACGATGCTACCCATCGGTTGCAGGAACAGCAGCTCGTATTACGCTTGGGAACCCTGCAGCCCAATGGTATCAATATGGACTTCACAAGCTTCAAAATCTCCCCTCCCCCTACCGCATCCCAAAACCAGCCCAGCTCATCCTCGCCTCCCTAACCTGTCCTTCCTCCCACCTATCCCTTCCTCCCACCTCAAGCCCCACCCCCATTTCCTACCTACTAATTTCATCCTGCCCCCTTGACTTGTCCGTCCTCCCTGGACTGACCTATCTCCTCCCTACCTCCCCACTTACACTCACCTTTACTGGCTCCATCCCCGCCTCTTTGACCTGTCTGTCTCCTCTCCACCTATCTTCTCCTTTATCCATCTTCTATCCGCCTCCCCCTCTCTCCCTATTTATTTCAGAACCCCTTTCCCCTCCCCCATTTCTGAAGAAGGGTCTAGGCCCGAAACATCAGCCTTCCTGCTCCTCTGATGCTGCTTGGCCTGCTGTGTTCATCCAGCTCTACACCTTGATAGTGTGATGTACTTTGTTTTGTATTGGCAGCAAAACCATGTGAAAATATAAGCTGTGAGGAGAATGCAAGAAACCCTGCAAAAGAGAGAGAGAGGCCAATCCTGCTAGAAGATAAAATAGCAGGTCTCTGCGTAGAAAGTTTGAAGTAGAAGTTAATCAATGTGACGCGACTGTGGTTTACACACGTATGATAGGAAACCTCTTTTGAATCTTCGGCCTCGATTTCATCAAACAGGCGGATGTCCCAATACAGCAGGGTTATCCAGGGTTAGGGTTAACCCTAACCCTAACCCTATGCTATTGTAACAACCCACAACAAGTAGGGCTGATGGGGATAACCCTGCAGCTGACTGGGGATTAGATTATTCCAAAGGTATTTCATTCCAAATATTTCTAAAAACTGAGTTCAGTATACTTATGTTATATTGGTGTCATACTAACATATAAAATACAATAGTGACCAATGAGCAACGTTTTACTGATATACTGATATAACAAAATGACATTTGTTAATTGTTCAAGCCAGGGTTACAAATTTCCATAATAAGTTGGAAAGTAATGCTGAATTTACATAACATGGGTGACATTTTATAAGGCTATGACCTTTCTGGTTTTTAACTTGGATACCTTCCTTTGGGTATCTTTAGTGGATCACAGAATCAATAGTTCCAACATCTGTTAAACAGTAGAGGTTAAGGCCACCTTTTGAAAAAATTAATAATTGCTGCTGTTGTCTCTCAAAGTTGACTTTTGAACTTTCAGTAACTAACTTTACTGATGGTGCACCAAATAGAGTCAAAAACATTTTTTGGTTTTTCAGTGTGTATTGAGTCATCTACTAAATTGTAACAATGTTTCATTTAAGATAGATGATCATGAAAAGGAGATGTGATTTGAGTAATAGTTCCTTTTTTTTATTCTTTCATGGAGTGAGAGTTGCTGGCAAGGCCTGCATTTATTGGCCATCCCTAATTGCTGTTGAGTTGGCAGAGGTGAACTACCTTCTTGAACTGCTGTAATCGTTTGGAGGTATACTGTCAATGCTATTGTGGAGGAAGTTCCAGGATTTTGACCTAGTGACAGTGAAGGAAAGTGATATAGTTCCAAGTTAGATGGTGTGTGACTTAAAGAAGAACCTGTAGGTAGAGATGTTCCTGTGGATCAATTGTTCTTGTCCTTCTAAGTGTTAGAAGCAGCACTTTTTGCCAAAGGAAGCTTGATGAGTTGATGCAATGCATCTTGTATCCGGTACATTGTATGCACTGTTGCCGCTGTGTCAGCGGTGGTGTGACTGAAAGCTTAAGATGTGGATGGTGCAAATCAGTTCGTTGCTTTGTCCGAGATAGCGTCAAGTTCTTTTCTGTGTTGTTGGAGCTGCACTCATCTGGACTCCCTGCAGAATACCAAGTCTCTGACTTGCTTTGCCAAGGTATTTGTATGACTAAATTCCTGATTCTCTAACAATTGGAGAGAGGGAATGAGTGATTTTATATATTAAAAAATCAATTTTCAGAAACCTTTGATATTATATGATGCAAAGATGCCAAATAAGTTCACTTGTAATTTCTATTCAGTTGTGTGGTAAGCAAAAAAGGATATATAAAGTACTAGCAAAATTTATAACCTGGTAAATACCTGTTTAAAGTTGTGAAATAGCTCCAGCAGTTTCTTAGACAACAAGGTGCAGGACTGGATGAACACAGCAGGCCAAGCAGCATCATAGGAGCAGAAAGGCTGACGTTTCGGGCCAAGACCCTTCATCAGAAAAGGGGGAGGGGAAGGGGGTTCTGAAATAAATAGGGAGAGAGTGGGAGGCAGATAGAAGATGGATAGAGGAGAGGATAGGTGGAGAGGAAACAAACAGGTCGAAGAGGCGGGGATGGAGCCAGTAAAG